GCATCTCCGATTCTCTGCCAGATGCTGCTTCCTTTCTAATCTCAGCTTATGTGGTTCAAACAAAGAAAAGACCATTTAAATGTATAAGTAATTAAATCTACAAGCTGGACCTGCAACACAATGATCCCTAAGGAATCCCATCACTCTTGTCAAAGCCACCATGTATTCTTTTTGGAAACTGACCCTGATTCTCAGACCCACCAGGCCCTTTACTTGTCCCCTGAAAAGGGTTTCTCACCTGCAGGAGTCCCATAAGGGCTGCCATCCCTAAGGGGAGACCTGTATGCAGAGGATGGAAGATGGCAGGAGGTGCGAGGGGCCTGGAAAGCTGGGGTGTGGCCTTGAGCCAGTGCTTCAAACCAGATGGATCGTCAGAAGCAACAGCAAGAGATTCCCCACGGGTGGGCATGCAGGGCGCAGTCCAGGAAGCCAAGAAGCCGAGACCAAAACACCGAAGAGCCCTATAACTCTCGAAGTGCAGTAGACAGGCACGGGCAGGACCCCCACAACTACCTTCGGAGCAAAGGGAGCACCCCTTCCTCCCTCAAGGGCTCTAGAGGTGGAGGGACCCACAGTGCCTGACCCCTGGATGAAAGCTGATCCCTGAGCCTCCAGGACAAGAGGAAGAGGCTCCTCAACAGCAATGCCCACCTCTGTCCATCCGTCCCACTGCCAAGATGTTTCTATGGTCTGTGGCTTTTCTGGTTTTAGCAAAATAGGAAGTTTACCAGAGGAGTGGCTTCTGTGAAATCCATCAGAAGATCACCTGGCTCCAGGGTAAAGGCACCTCCTCGGTCAGAGGGGCTCTAGGGAGACAGACAAAAACACCCCCAGTTAGAGACAGCACTGCGTCAATCATGAAGTTCACCAGAAAAGAGAGACAGAGGTTCCCAGTCTCTCCTCTATGCTGATCTCATTAGCGTGACAATCCCCTTGTATTTCCCTAGCCAAGTAGTATACCAAATGTTGAGAGTGCACCCCCATTTTTTCATTGGTAGAAGTAGACATGATGTGGGGAGCTGTCCCTTTCGGAGCTGCAGGCAGCTTTTCTTAAGTGCTCTTAGTGCTGTTTGACTGGTCTTTTGGAGGAAAAACACTTGAAAGAGTCCTCTGAATATACAAAGAGAGACCAAAGACTTTGTCTTAGATTAAGAGGATCAAATCCAGGGTCCTCCAGGAGCGAAACTGATCTGCACATTAAGAGCAATGGTCTTCATGGCAGGTGATGGCACGTGGAGTATTATGTTGCTTGCTTTTGGAAAACATTTTGTTCTCCTGCTCTGGGGTCTTAGCTGCATGGATGGCCTCGAGGTCTTTTAAGGCAGAAAAAATAAGTCCCATCAATGTGGTGCAAGCAAGGCCCCAAAGAGAGAGATGGCCAGGAGAGGGAGCCCTGTGGCCTTTGGTAGGATGCCACTTGCGTCCCCTTCACACCACCCCGACTCCCTTCTGTTTTGTAAATGTTTCTTTCAGCCTGGTTTTAACCACAGTGTGGGATATGTGACAGGAGCCTGTGTCCACACCTGAGACAAAGTTGTATAGGGGGCTCCACACAGTGGAGGATAATCCAGGCTAAGATGCCAAGAGGTGATCTATAGAGAAGCAGAGAACCTCGGTCTTGGCCAGTCGCTTGCTGAGCGCTCCAGCCAGGTTTCTGTTGCAGAACACCTAAGCAGAGATATTTCCAGAGACACCTAGGGAAGGGACCAGGTGAAAGACTGGCCTTGGTAATGCAGGAGGTGGCCCTGGACCCTTATTCTTTAGCTGTCACCAGGAATTGTGATACCTGAAGCTGCAAAAGCCTCAGGCATCCAGTTTGCATGAGCACTTTAACCTCCACCGGACCTGATGCCAGCCAGGGCAAGATAGCAGATCTTATTCCCATTTTTAAGAGGAAGAAACTGAGGCCTGAAGAAATAAAAGTTTTGGAAGTGAGTGCTGTGGCTTATGAATGGAAGAGCTGAGAACAGCCTCTGAAGCTCTGGTCTTGCCTTCAGGGTACCTGCCTCATGCACACACCTTTTCTCCATGTAGTTGCATAGACCACTGCAACCTCTGACTTGTATCCACTTGGATAGCAATAGGTTCAACTGTATTTGGACTAATTGCCAAAGAGTGATTGTAGCTAGAGGTCTCTCAAAGAAAACCAAGAAAAATATCTTGTGTAAAGCCTTTGTCATAGCCCGTTCACATCTCAGGCAATTTCCTGAAATTTCAAACCAGCAAATGGAATACTATTTCCTATCTTCAAACTACAAATACCAGCTATATGACATAAGGAAAGGGATGGGGACACTTCTGTTTTTGCTCCTCCAAACTGTTCACTATGGTTGGGGGGAATCATTTCTCTCTATCTTCACTGTGGACTAATAGCTTATTATAGAGATGAGATTCTAAATGAAAATTGCCCTCAAAAATCTCTTACATTGCAATTAAAGTACAATGAACCTGATTTTATATTTCACTTATTCTCTCGCAAACGGTTGGTTTGTATTTTGGGGTCAAGTTATATAAAAACATGTTCTGGTTGTTGCTGTTGTTTTATGAGTACACACAACTGATTATGCAAAATTTAAATTTGATTATGCAAAAATGAAATACATGCACCAGATGCTACTCAGTAAATTGATACTGAACTCCCAGCAAGTGTGGCTGCTTGCCAGGGCTTTCCACCCCACACTACCTTGGCCCCGGGGGACAGCTGGCCTTTGCCTTCTGACTTGTGAGGCGAGCTGACATTCTGGACCTTGGGAGACGGCAGCGGCACGGAGACTTGTGTGGCGGCAGTTGTGGTGTTTGTGGTTGTAGCTGTGGTCACTCCCACTGCCTCGGCCAGGTCTGGAGGGAGGTCGTCTTCATCACTGCGGTTACTAAAAGCACATGAAGCTCTGCTCATTACAATAATAAACAGGCTGTGAGGAGTGGACGGAGGATGGGCAGGGGTGGGAAGACCAGGGATAGGGATTGGGGGTTCCCAAACAGATGTCCACCAGATGTCCAGCTTGCAGGATCCAATACTCTTTTTTGCCAAAACAAATTTGGGCTGAATTTTCTGTCATTTGCCAGGGTGTTGTTTTGTTTTGTTTTGGTGGTAAAATATACACAATATGATATTTATCATTTTAACTGCTTATAAATATAAAATTCAGTGGCACTAAATGCATTCAAAATATTGTGCAACCATCACCACTATCTGTCCCCAAAACTTTTTCATCAGTGACAACAGAAACTCTGTATTGATATTGAATGAGAACTCCCCAAGCCCCTCCCTGCAGCCTCTGGTAACATCAATTCCACTTTCTGTCCCAATGAATTTGTCTATTCTAGGAACCTCACATACATAAGTGGAATCATACACTCTGTGTTCCTCTATGTCTGGCTTATTTCAGTCACCATAATATTTTTAAGGTTCATCCACACTGTAGCATATATCAAAATTTCATTTCTTTTTATGATACAAAAATTCCATTATATGGATATACCACATTCTGTTTATCCATTCATCTGTTGACGGACACTTGGCTTGTTTCCACTCTTTTGGCTATTATAAATAATGCTGCCATGAACATGGGTGTACAAACATCTGTTTCACTCTCTGCTTTAAGGGTGGTGAAGGGGACTCCAGGCCACTGTCCCTAAGGATCTGCTGTGTACAGCTTCTGGAGCCACCCTTGCATAGGGGTTGTAATTTAGAATGATGGCTGAGCTCAAGAATATAGATACAAGACCCATGACAGACAGGCACCAATGCAGCCTGTGCAGAGTCACTGGTAAGGCCTCAGCCCAGCACGGAGCCATGTGGGAACACGAGGCCAGGGGACACAGCTGCAGTGCAGATGGGGTTGACTGAGGGGTTCCTGAGAGGTTTTAGATTATTCTGTGTATGGAGAAGCCTCAAGGGAAGGACTTAGGATTCATTACTAAAAAGGGGAAACGGTGAAAATTGAATAAGTATGTGGAAAAATTAATAATACACCAAGTATTTGGATCCACATAGATGACATAGGTCAGATGGGTTATGCGTTCATTCACCCACTTAATTTTCATGCTGACCCTGTCTATTACCATCTCCATTTTTCAGAGAATCAGATGATATTTAGCAGCTGATTGTGAAATTATTTGTTCAAGGTCACATAGCTAGTTAAGTGGAGGAGCAGGGTTAAAATTTCTTTTTACCTCATTTAAAAAATTATCACCTCAAGAGCATAGTTATTATTATTTAGTTTTATATAAAAGGTCATTTAAGGCCGGGCGCAGTGACTCACGCCTGTAATCCCAGCACTTTGGGAGGCCAAGGCGGGTGGATCATGAGGTCAGGAGATCGAGACCATCCTGGCTAACATGATGAAACTCCGTCTCTACTAAAAATACAAAAAATTAGCCGGGCGAGGTGGCGGGCGCCTGTAGTCCCAGCTACTCGGGAGGCTGAGGCAGGAGAATGGCGTGAATCCGGGAGGCGGAGCTTGCAGTGAGCTGAGATCGCACCACTGCACTCCAGCCTGGGTGGCAGAGCAAGACTCCATCTCAAAAAAAAAAAAAAAAAAAAAAAAAAAAAAAATCATTTAAAATAAAAACAACAGCTCATTTTTCACAGAAGAGAGTCAACTGATACTGTCTAAAATTGAAAAAGACTCCAAATTCGTAATGGTTTTTATCTTTTGTCTTAGTTCAGAGCTTATGGCCAAGAAGCATATCTAAAATTCAGCAAGTCTTCAGTTTTACCTGTTTCTAAGGTAAACTCATGATAAAGTCACAAAACAACACTTTAATAAGTAAAATTTTACATACAGAATGAGTTTTTGCTTTGAAGTTGTTTCTTTCTAATTTAACAATATATAAGCATAGAAACTCGTCTAATGTAACAGTCATCAACTATGAACCCTGGTTATTTTGGATTCTGGGAAACTGGCTACTTTTCTCTTCTATCTTGCCTATTTACTTTTTTTCCCTTTCTTTAATTTTTTAAATTAACTTATACTTTATTATTTAATTGAAAAATTTAAAATATGAAATGCTTCACAAATTTGCACATCCACCTTGCGCAGCGGGGCTATGCTAATCTCTGTATGGGTCCAATTTTAGTATATGTGCTGCCAAAGTGAGCACTATTGAATTTTTTTTAGACTTTTACGCTATGTTTAAATAAACAGTGAAGTTATATTTCTGGAAAAAAATAAAATAGCTCATCATTTTGTAAACATACTAGCTGGTATGTATAAAAATGACACTTTTGGCTGGGCACAGTGGCTCATGTCTGTAATCCCAGCACTCTGGGGGTCAAGGCGGCCAATTGCTTGAGCACAGGAGTCTGAGACCAGCCTGGGAAACATGGTCTGGTCTTGTCTCTACAAAAAATACAAAAATTAGCCAGACGTGGTGGCACCCACCAGTTGGGCTGAGGTGGGAGGATCACCTGAGCTGAATCACCTGAGGCTGCAGTGGGCTGTGATCAACCACTGCACTCCAGCTTGGGCAACAGAGTGAGGCCTTGTCTCCAAAAAAAAAAAGATCTTTTCGCCTGCCTCAAACTCAAACTCGCTGTAGAGGCCCTCTACTTCTCCCTTCTCACTGCATGCAGTGGCCACATTTTCCCTCCTTGTCATATTTCCAGGAAACAATGTGGCTGAGATTTTTGTTTGTACCTTTAAAAGCAGTGGTTCAAAGACTTGTTCACAGCACCTGAATGTTACAATGCTTTTGATGGAGCCACCTAAAATCCGACTACACCTTATTCTAGCCTAGGAACTGGAATTATTACAACAGCCAAAAGGGCGATGTGCGCACACTAATCTGTATCTCAAAAATGATGATGCAAAAAATGTTTTCCAGAAAATCAGAAATCTGAGTTTTCCCATTTATATTCCTTGATCATGTGCCAACTTTATCCATATCAAAGAGTTAAAGAGATGGGCAAAGGCTGGACATGGTGGCTCACACCTGTAATCTCAGCACTTTGGGAGGCTGAAGCGGGCGGATCACCTGAGGTCAGGAGTTCGAGACCAACCTGGCCAACGTGGTGAAACCCTGTCTCTACTAAAAATACAAAAATTAGCCGGGCGTGGTGGTGGACACCTGTAATCCCAGCTACTCGGGAGGCTGAGGCAGGAGAATCACGTGAACCTAGGGGGCGGAGTTTGCAGTGAGTTGAGACTGCGCCATTGCACTCCAGCCTGGGTGACGGAATTAAGACTCCACCTCAAAAAAATTTAAAAAATATATTAAATAAAGATGGGTAAATGAGTGGTAACCAGTGTCAAGGATTCGATAACTCTTTATGGGACAATAACACGGGGAAAATTTCATCCACGCATGTTGCTATTTTCTACCAATGAGGGAAATGCTGCCATTCTTTGATTTTCCAAGCAGAATACTTTGGGACAGCTTAAGAAATACACATGTAAAGTTCAAGGTTTGAAAAAGAGTGTCCTTAAAAGAGCCAGTTTGATTAGCTGGGCACGGTGGCATGCGCTTGTAGTCCCAGCTACTTGGGAGGCTGAGGCCAGAGAATCTCTTGAACCCAGGAGGCGGAGGTTGCAGTGAGCTGAGATTGTGCCACTGCACTCCAGCCTGGGCAACAGAGTGAGACTCTGTATCAAAAAAAAAAAAAAAAAAAAAAAAACAAAAGAATGAGTTTGGTGACTTAGTGAAATTTTCTTTCCTTCCAGGTTATGTATCAGACAGTCATTGTTTCAAACGTGATTATATCTCTCAAATGAGTGATAATAACATTTTGAGTTTCAAGATGTAAAAGGCATGGCAAGTTCTGCCAGCTTTATCCTCGAGGGAAGCAAATTGTCATGGCTTAATTGTCCGCCAGGGATCATTAGGACTGTTAATTATTTGAACTTTACTCATTTTGGCTTTCCTGGGAAATGCAGCTGACCAGAAGTTTCTATGAAGGATAATGAGGTAGGATATGTCTCCCTTCATATCTCCCATACATGTGTCTTTTCCTTTTCACATGTACGAATGGCAGACCTGAGACAGCTGTTAGAGAATTGCATCCAGAATCCCGTTTTCTGTCCTACATTTTGCACTCTGGGTACCCCCTAAACTCCATCTTTCCTCAGAAGCTTCCAGGTCCCAGAGAAGAAAGAAAGGGGACCTCATCCTATGGCCAGGGCATTGGGGCTTTACCCACATTGTCTCATGTTAAACCCCACAAAACTCCTCAGAGGCAGGTATTATCTCACCCATTTTATAGAGGAAGGAAGAGAGGATCACAGAGTCATTTTTCCAAGAGCTTACAGCTGTAAACTAGCCAGGGGCCTGACAGAAGCCTTTCCAACTCCAAAGTCCCCATGCTTTCCATTTGTCCACAGATCCCCCTGCAGTTACTCTCTGACCAATGACACATCTAGGCACAGTACCCACGCCATAGCTAAGGTCAAGAAATGGGAACTACAAGCTGGGCGCGGTGGCTCACGCCTATAATCCTAGCACTTTGGGAGGCCGAGGCGGGTGGATCACTTGAGGTCAGGAGTTCGAAACCAGCCTGGCCAACAGGGTGAAACCCCCGTCTCTACTAAAAATACAAAAAAAATTAGCTGGGCATGGTGGCAGGTGCCTGTAATCACAGATACTTGGGAGGCTGAGGCAGGAGAATTGCTTGAGCTCTGGAGGTGGAGGTTGCAGTGAGCCAAGATTGTGCGGCTGCACTCCAGCCTGGGTGACAGAGTGACAGAGCAAGACTCTGTCTCAAAAAATAAAAAATAAAAAGGAAAGAAAAGAAAAAAGGGAAAAGAAATGTGAACTACCATTGTGATAATTACTACAATTATTTCTAGTACTCACCACCCTGACTACAGAAGTTATCTTTCTGCTTTGGATTATAATTATTTGTGACTCTTGTCTTTCCCTCCAGTAAATTGTGACTCTTTGGATGGGAATTGTCAAAGTCACTTTACTATTCCCCAACGATGCCTAGAACAGTCAGGTGCACATGGACTCTGGTGATTCTGGGACACTTTGGGAAATGGCGCCTCCTACAGGTGTCAAAGCTCAGTGATCAGCTTTGGCTCTGTTGACAGACGGGGCTGCCTTTTCATGGATATGCTGCGGAAAGCAGCTACTAAGTAGCTTGCAATGATCCCCAACCTACTATTCATGCCCCTGTGTAATCCCTCCCCTTGAGTGTGGGCTAGACACAGGGATTTGCTTCTAATGAACAGAATATGGCACAAGTGATGGGGGCTGAGCACAGTGGCTCACACCTGCACTTCGGGAGGTTGAGGCAGGCAGATTACTTGAAGTCAGGAGTTCTAGACCAGCCTGGCCAACATGGTGAAACCCCGTCTCTACTAAAAATACAAAAATCAGCCAGGCATGGTGGCTCACACCTGTAATCCCAACTACTTGGGAGGCGGAGGCAGGAGAATTGCTTGAACCTGGGAGGTGGATTGCAGTGAGCCAGCATCACACCACTGCACTCCAGCCTGGGTGACAGAGCAAGACTCTGTCTCAAAAAAAAAAACAAAAGAAAAAAGTGATGGGATGTCAGTTCTGTGCATAGGTTACAAAAGACTGTGCCTTTGCCTTGCTGGCACTCCCTCTGGCTCTTCTTGTGTGCTTTCTCTAATGGAGAAAGCTGGAGAGACCTATGTGACTACAGGCTGAGGGCAACCTCTGTCCAACAATCCTTGAGGACCTGATCCCTGTCAGCAACCGTAAGAATGAGCCTGCAGATAAGACCGCAGCCCTGACACCTTGAATGCAGCCTTGTAAGAGCCCCTGATACAGAAGACCCAGCTAAGCCATGCCCCGACCCCCTCTCCACAGGAACTGTGAGATGATAAAGGTGGATTGTTTTAAGACACTAAGTTTGGGAGTAATTTATTACACAGTAGTCAACAATGAATCCTTATGCCAACTATGTAAGGTTTTCAGGGAGAAAGGGCTAGTCTCATTATTACCTAAATTGGAAATAAATGGAATTTGGGGGCTGCTCCCTGGGGCTAGTCAGAGGGGCTAAGAAGCATTTGTACCTAAACATTTAGTCATCGTAGTTGTTTTAATTGAAAAAGTTGCAGTACAGAACTCACAAACTATACTGTCTTGTTAACTTCCTCACTCGGGGAGGCTTGATTTCCGGCTTTTCCGCAGCTGGCTGGGCAGTTTCCACACGAATAGGAATAGGACTTCTAGAGACACACCGAAAAAACAGAACAATACCATCAAAAAACGGTTTATGGTCTTGTTTTAGCCATAGGGACTGCTTTCTCAGTTAATGTACACCTTAATAACATTGATAATCAAGAAATCCATTTTTTTTTTGCCTTCTTGAATTCTACTCTACTTAGTTAATAATTATAATTATTTTCTAAAACCATAGAAAATCCAAACAGTAAGAAAAAAATCATAGGGAAAATATAGCAAGTGGGGGAACTAAACATAATTGAGGTACCAAATAAAATTTCTCTGCCCCAAAATAGTCATCCCTGCCCCCCAATATGAGGGGTGAACCAGATTGAGGGTTTGGCTCATAACCAGGTTTTGCCAGTAAAATGAAGAGAAAACTATGGATAACCTGTTTTTAATTCCAAGTAATCTGGTAGCTATTCTATTTTAAACATAGCACAGACTATTTGCTTTTTTAAAAAAAAAAAAAAGATAAAGAACCATACTATACTTTATGTGAAAAATGCATAATCAGAAGACCTTTAGGACTTGCTGTAACACATTTTAATTCCGCGTATGTGTGAAAATGCTAAAAATTAAGTTTCACTTTTATCTTTATTCAAGAATTTATTTCAGGTAACCAATGGACCCTACTCAAAATAGTAATTTTAAGGAAAATGTTTAATGCATTTTTGTAGTGGTCATGACTAATTTCATCTTTTAAAAAATCAGTTCATTACCTCCTAGGACCAACAAGGCATCAAAACAAGTTGAGGTCCTTGAAAGGGGCCTCTGGCAAGTCAGCTGACACTTCTGGGTCAGTGCTCACTATGGTGATAAGTACGTGGCCAGGGCCTAATAAATGCATGTTGAGGCTGGGCGCAGTGGCTCACACCTGTAATCCCAGCACTTTAGGAGGCTGAGGCAGGCAGATCACTTGTGGTCAGGAGTTTGAGACCAGCCTGGGCAACATGATAATACCCATTTCT